GTTAAAAATAAAACTTTGAGACTTGGTAAGAGAAAATTAAAAGAAAAAGAGAAGAATAAATATTATAATGAGAGAGTAAAAGCCCAATAGAGAAAAAGAAGCTAAGATGTAAAATAGTGAGAAAGAAAATAAAAAGTTACAAGATAAAGGAAGCAGACCAGTGGAATTATTAGAAGAAAGTAGAAGGTATAGAAAACCAAAGTTAAAATCAGATTAAAGTTACAGAATACAACTAGGGAGTTAGAAATAATATTTAAGAGCAAACTACAATTCTGAATTAAAAGATCATGACAAAATAATAAATGAGATTTATGTTAAAAGAGAAAATAGTGTAAAGTAACAAGGTAAAAGGTTAAATACATCAAAGTGAAAGAGAGAAAAGATTAAGAGGATAACAGACCAAAACCCGTAGGAAAAAAATGTTAAAAACCAAAAAAGAAGATGGGTTTGAAGCCGAAGTATAAGATTTAGGAATTAAGAAGATTTTTGAGTGTTAATACTTTGACAAAGAGGATTAGGAGGAAAATATTTTAAAAGGAAAACAAAGAAGCTTCAGTTTAGAGGAAGTGGTAATAAAGTCAGGAAAGGAAAGAAAAATTGAAGTTAGCACAAAGCAGCACCATGCAATTCCCAACAGTAACAGTGAAAGCAAAAGTGACGTAGAAAACTCAGACTATTTCCCTGGTAAACAAAGACTCCCAACTATGAGGACCACAACACGTGAGAATTCCCAGTTCCCAGCGAGGCTCTCCACCCTGCAGTGCTCTTGATGGCCGGACAAAGGGGTGGGAGCCCCCTTTACTTTTCGCTAGAAGCTTGCTTTTTCTGCTTCCAGCCTTTTCTCCTGCAGAAAGGAGATGGCCTCTGCTCTGGAATTGATACAGCAGCTGCGGCTGGAGTCGGGCAAAAGCTGTGGTCAGCCAAGCTATGCAAACACCTAAGGTTAAAAAACCACACGGGAGAGAAACTTGCTCCACAAAGACGGAAGGAAGAGATGGCCGGCCAGGAGGTGGGGGAGAGGCTGGGGTGGGGAAGGAAGAAGGAGAAGGTTTTTCTCTGTGAAGTAGACATTGAGGTCATCTTGTGATAACAGCAGTAGGACCGACGGTGAGTAGGGTGGACATGACGGGGTGCGGCTGAGGGGTGGGAAGAACGTGACCCCAACACTGCACCCCAGCTGTGGCCCAGCAGCCTGTCTGATGTTGGAAGGAGACTTCATCCATGAGAGCTGATTCTCTGACAAAGTGGGGTCTCAGGGGGTGGAGGGTCAAGAGCAGTCCAACTTCTGGGGACCAGCAGAGACAGGGTTAGGAGGTGATGGATCTTAGTAGTTGATCCAAGGACTAGCTAGGCTGTGGCAGACTGGCTGAGGAGTGAATGGGAATATTTGCGTGGGGACAGGAAGAAAGCTCAGAGAGAGAAGGGGCTGGGGAGCTAGGGGACGAGTCCTCGTCAGATGGGATGTCAAAGCCACAGCCATTGCTTTGATGCTTTGGTGAAACAGGTCATTTGAAGATGTCTGAAAAAAAGCATTGGGAATGTTGAGAGGAGTTTGTTAATTTGTCATTTTAGGATCCAGCTGGACGTCCCTGCAGCCATCTTGGTTGAACCCGCCATCTTACCTGCCAGAGCTCCTGACACACGTTCCAAACACTAGAGGATCAGTGAAGTCATTGAAATAGTCACTGGGTACTTCATGCCAGACACCGAAGCCCAGACTATTTATTGACTGACATAGTAATAGTTTTTTTTTGGGGGGGGGATTGTTCGTTTTGAGAAAACTCAGGTACATTCTGGATGGCTGCAGTCACCTCTGCAAGCTTAGCGTATAAACCCCTTCCTTCGGCCTTGGGGTGTAGAAATGCTGCTATCTTTGCAGTGTTTGACCACAGAGACATGCTCAGTTGGTTGATCTCTAAAACATTACACTTTGCGCAGTCCTGGGTTTGCTGGCCTTTCTTAGGTCTCTTGGCATCTTCTGCCTCTGGTGGCCAGTTTTTGTATTGCAGGCTTTTCTGAAACCGCTGGACAACTCAAGCCTAACCTATCCTACTCCAAAGTTGCAAGGATTCTACATACATGCATAGCCTGGTGACCCAAGGGCAGGGCTTTTATTGGGGGCCATTTAATACTCACTACCGAGTGTCAGAAGGCTCACAGTGCAGTAGCCATCTAAGTTGCATGGTGACAATTTAGGACTGAAGAACGTTAGGAGGACGACTGGTTTGAGACTCAGGACACCAAATAGGTTATTACAGACAGCCGGGTTGCTAATGTGTCGCCAAAGACAGTAGATGGAAAATATTCCCGTGTGCCAGCAACAGTGTTCTGGGGCCATAGCTGCTGGCAACTCCTCGGTAGGTGATCAGGGCACAAATTCTCACACTCTGCTTAGTGGACGGGCTATCAGTGCTGCTTAGCAATGATGAGTTGTTTCTGGTTGGATGGGTAAATCGTCAGCGGTCAAATGTTCTACGTGTGAGGTTTCTGGGCGAGATGAGATTTCTAGGGCTTTTTCAAAGCATGCCCCGCACGGGGCTCTCAGTGTCCCAGCAGTGTCAGCGTCCGTGGATGTGACAGGGAGGGGCCTGAGCCCTCAGTCTGAACACCAATTAAATGCGTTAAAAGTACCCTGGTAAAGGCTTTGGTCCGAGACAATCTGGCCCCAACAGAAAAGCCTCTGGCTGCTGTGGGGATTGAAGAGCAGCGATGGAGAAGCCTGGCTGGCCAGGGTGCCAGCGTGCTCTGGAGGTTGCTGAAAGGGGTCAAAGACTTTTTTGTGACCTTGATGCCCAGAGGGACCTCTTGTGAGAACTTCTCCTTTGGAAGGAGCTGGAAGGAAGCCTTTGAGATTGGACTGGTTTTCCTTTCTCCTCCTCCTCCTCTTCTTCTCTTTCTTCTCCTCCCCCCTCCCCTTCCTTTCCCCTTCCTTATCCTGCTCCTCCTTTTTCATTTAGTAGGTGCTCAAAGGCTCATAGTATGCCAAGGGCCATACAATGAGATCTTCTTTGGTTCTATGGCTCTCTGTCTCTTTCTCTCTCTCTGAACTGAGCATCAAACTTCGGACCTTGCAAATATGTTCTTGCCAAGAATGTGGCTTGTCAGGCAGGTGTGGTGCCCCTGAGCTACATCCCCTGGCCAATTAGGTCCTGTTTTAAGCGACACTTGAGCTCAAGTCTCTTATCTGATACTTAAAGGTTTTCTTTTCTCTTTCCTCCCTCTCCGCTTCCTTCTTCTCCTTCTCTCTCCTTCCTTCCATTTCTTCCTTCGTTTTTCTTCCTTTCCTTTCTGTTCCTTTCTTTTCCTTTCCTCGCTTTCCCCTCCCCTCCTCCGCTCTCCCTCCCCCACTTTTTCACTTCCCCTCCTCTGCCTCAACCCTTGTGTTTGAGTTTCATTCTTTAGGGATAGTACATACCTCGTCTGCATTCAAAATGACGGAAAAAAGTTGCCATTTTGGTTTTTGTGTTTGACCACCCTCAGTGTGTGTGCTTTCCTATCGTATTACTCTGTGAGGATGAGGCAGAGATTCACAGGGAATGCTGCAGAGTGGATCCACCCCCAGAAGGAACAACCCCTCATGGAGCGAGTCCTCTGAGTGCGAGTGTGTCCCCGGGACCTGAGCAGGGACCACGGCTGAGGGGGACAGTAGGGCAGCTCGTCAGGGGGGCCTGATGCTGCGGCCCTGGATGCTTTGTGGAGCTGCATTACACTGGGGCAGCATCTTCTAAGGTGGCTCCGCTCGGCCCCGGGGCTGGCACCCATCCTCTGTGTGTCCTGCGATGCGCTGCGCTGACGACTTGTTCCTAGATAAGAGACCACGTGAGAGTGGAGCAGTGGAGCTTCTGACAGGAGGGTGCAGAGTCTCTGGCTTCCTGCCTCATTCACCCTCCTTGCCCTCTTGCTCTTTTCCTCGGAGGGAAGCCAGCTGCCATCCTGCGGGCTGCCTCACAGCAGGGCCCACGTAGCGAATCACCAGGAGGAGCCTTGGGCCAGCAGTCAGTGAGGAACGGAAAACACAGTTCAGCAACCTCAAGGGACTGAACCCTGCTACCGGTCACTCAGCGAGCTGGGAAGGAGGCCCCCTTCCACCGGGGCTTTGGGACAGTGACAGCCTTGTGGGAGACCCTGAAGCATAGGCCCCAGTGGCTCTTAGCAAATGTGTCTTTTCTTACGCTGCTGAATCTTGGATTGATTTTGATGACGCTATAGATAATCTCAGGCAGATGCACACAACTGTCTTCACTGAAGGGCAGTTGTTGAAAGGTTTTTCCACTGGAGTGGCTGTTCTACTGTATTTCTCCTTCCTAAGCAGTGTTTCTAGAACTGCAAGTTACTGTTGAGGATATCCTTTGCCACAGATGTGAATTCATCTTTGGACAGCTTTACCGTTTTGTATTTAGCACTCACGGGATGCTGATAGCCAAAAACCTTCACGGCATCAGCCAAGGCCTTGTGTCCCTCGAGTTCTGAGGTGATAAAATGTTTATATGCAAGCATCAAGAAACATTTCAAGAATTTTATCTTGATTTTTATGGATTGATTTTATGAATTTTATCCACAGCTACAGAATTAATCGATCACCTTCACCATCAAGCTTAGCCTACCTATTTTTGAACCCACATAAATTAAGACTCAGAGCTCAAATAAGTTCTTCACAATGGCTTGTGGATTTGCGCAGATCCTGGGCACTATGGGAATTTACCATCTCTTCTGATTTGAGGTCATCCTCTGAGTCACTCAGAAACAATCTATTCCAGACTTGCCTTGGTGCAGTCATAGGGAGAGTGGTCAGTTGGACACTCAGTCAGGGAGTCAGGGTTGCCATGGGAGTGTCCACACCCACGGATTGTTTCTGACATTAGTTCTAAGCTTCAACCAGAACCTGTGATGTGGAATTGTGTCACAAGAGATGTCAAACATTGCACCTTCTTTGAGTCAGTCTGCTAGACAGACCCGAGGCATCATGGGAAGGGGTAGTGGAAAAGCCGAGCTGTGGAAGTTAGATGGATCTGAGTTCCAATTTCAGCACCATTACTTACTAGCCTGGGACACAGGGCTGCTCCCTTACTTTCGCACAGCTCTGTTGGATCAAGTATGCAATGGGGGTAATGATTTCTAACTCAAAGATGGTGGTGATTTGCTTAGTCAGGTAAGGTGTTTAAAATGCTCAGTCTGTGTAAAAAGAGGAGCGGTTGATGTTGAAGCCCTTTCAGGGCCATCCTAAGAGTCTAGCATGGCATCTGACAGAGCAACACAGAGCCCCGGTTCTCAGTGGCCAATGGGCCCAAAGGGGAATAAGCAACACTGTCAAGGTCCTCGAGCGTTTGCTCTGGAGAAGGAAGGACCTCGGTGTTGGCGTCCTTGCCTTTATGGGGACTGGTGAGTGTGTATTTGTGGGACATCTGCAGACTCCCAGTGAGAGTTCTCTTCTTCCTCTTGGCCAGTGCTCTGTCTGGCTCTGCTGCACTGTCGCCCTCATCAGGACGCCTGGGTGGGGCCCTGTGAACCTCAGGCTCAGTGTCGGCCTTGCCCTGGACTTCTGGAGGCTGAACTTGTTTTGGGGTGTGGTTCCCGCCCTTTGGATGACTCACATGTGACACTGAGGTGACAAACGCTGCCTAACAGGCCGAGGACACCCTTCGGTTATTCCAGTTACTCCAGATAGGAGAAAAAGGGTTGAATCACTGTGCTGCAAGAAAAATGAAAGGAAAGCTTTTCCCCTCGGCTGGTGGTGCCCCTGGGCATGTGGGATTGTGATGGGAAAAGGGAGGAAGTGGCCCAGAAACCTGTGCCTTCGAAGGCCTGCAAGCAGAGAGGATGCTGGGATTGCACCTATGATTTCCCGGTGGCCTGGAGACAGTGGCAGGGGTACGTGGAGGCTGAAAAGCCTGAAGACAGGAGGCCCGCTGGAGGGTAGTACAAGGCTCTGGGATGGAGACATGATAGGTAAGTTGGGGATTAAGTATAAGAACATGTAATTATATAGGAGTATAGGGAAATCCTTACATATTCCACTCAATTTTGTTGTGAATTTGAAACTACTCTAAAAAATAAGTTCTAGTTCGGAAAAAGAGTGGATCCTGGGCAAGGTCTGTGTTTTTATTTCCCTCGGTGTCTACAGATTAATTATCTTAGGTGTTTCACCACTTCCTCTCAAAGTGAAGTAAGAGAGCCTGGACTCCAGTTCTATCCAAGTCATCCTAGAGGTCATTCAAAAGGAAGGAGGGAGACAGGCAGGGGAAGGAGTAGAGGAAGTTGAGGAAATAAAACTTTAGAGATAAACATAGAGGGCATGGGTCTGGAATGTGTGTGTGTGTGTGTGTGTCTCATTGTGGTGAACTAAGGAGAAAGAAAACCAAGAAAACCAAATGCCTTCCTTCTGGCCTTTTCTACCAATGCTGTTTTGCATTTTCAGCTGCAGGCATGGAGGAGAGGAGGTATTCTTTGGTTCTTGCCCCCAGGATGGCCTGGGCTCTCCCTGCCCCCTAGGCTGCCCCTGGCCCTCTCCTCTCCATCCTCTTTTCCTCCACAGCCAGACAATTTGGAGGCAGTGAGGGGTCAGCCAGCTCCCAAAGGCGTCCGCTGGGAAGGAGCCGGGAGAGCAGAGGCCCTCACTCATGGTCTGGGGGCCTTGTGGGATTGGACCTCCAGCCACGTACAAATGACATGTGAGGTCCCACGGTAAAAAGGCAGGGAGGAAACAGGCGCCTCCATTACACAGCGCATGGGATGCTGTACACAGGCTGGAAACCAGCTGTGCTCCGGGGAGAAGAGGAGCAGGAAGAACAGCTGCTTCTAGGAGTTTGTGTTGTGTAGCCCAAGCTCCTCAGAAACAGTGTGAGTGAAGATTTCCTCTCACGACGGCCAGTTCAGTACTTCGGGTCACTTACTGGTGGACCAAGGACTCAGACTGCGGACTTTTAGAAACATCCTTTCTCAGGAAAGACAAAAGCTGAGAGGAAATAAACGGGGAAGGAGGAAGAGGAAAAGGAAAACAGAAGAAGAGGGAAGCCAGCGACAGGATGGAGGATGCCCAGTCTCACAGCTGATCTCTCCTCAGAGTTCCTGACCAGGATGACTTAAAGAGCGGGGTTGGGCGGAGTGCTTCCTTAAGAGACCATTATGCTTTGACACACACATTGCTGTATAAACAAATACATGAACACCTAAAATAGGAAACAGGAATAATGAAAGGTGTTGCTGATGAATTAGGGCCTGTGTTTTAAGAATATTCATTTATAGAAATATTTCTCATGCTGGAGAATTTCTCAGAGGTGGAGCCAAGGCCGCCATCTAAGGGCCCTCATGACACCAAGCAGCTCATCTGCTTCTGCTTGTTTGGGCCCTACCTTCCCAATTGACATCCCCCAAGTGTATCCTGACTGGCTCAGGGCCTGCAGTTGTGGGAGAGAGGCAGAAACATAGGACTGAATCACAGCAGAGGTGGCAGGATTAGACACAAATATTTCTGCTCTATAGGAAGAGAGTGAGGTTCAGTGACCTAAGTAATTTACCCAGAGCTTCATGTGAGGTGGAGCCAGGCTGGGATCTCCAGTAGCCGCGATGGTCACGACTCCCATTCTTAGCTTGTCCCTCAGGCCCAGGAAGCTCATTATGTTACAGCCAAACCAACCCCCCAGGGCCCTGGGGGATTGAACCCTAGACTTAAAATCTCCTCCCATGGTTTGAATGGACTGAGGGGAGAACCCTGGAAGTCATCCATCTTGAATGAGTGGGCTTTGGTCCCAGCAAAGACTGTATGTCAGAGGGTTCAAGGTTGCGTTCATGAAGTAGCACTGACCCCTCTTAGCCAAGGCCACTGCCCAGCCAGCGCCATCTCTCATCCAGAGAGAGCCAGGCAGCACATCCCTGTGTCAGGACACCTGAAGGGGAATTAAACCAACAGGAAGCCCTGTTGCTTATTTCCTGGGGAAGACGGCCAGTAGAGAGTCAAAGTTCTGGAGCAAGATTGGGAGGAGTGGAGGATGTCCGAGGGTGAGCAGGAATACTCTGGGGGGTGGGCAGAGACGGAGAAAGTTGTGTGGGCCTCACTGTCAAAGGCTTGATGTTTAGACTCAGTGACCAAAATGGTGTCACACCAGAGTGAGCTATGCAGGAACTCGTGGTCTGGGAACCTAGAAGGGAAAGGAACCACAGCCCTGAGGCCCAGAAGGCAGAGGCAGACGCCAGCTTGGGGAAGCCGGCTGAGCCCGACACTGTTCTGCCAGGCTGGGCTGTCCCCGGAGGGCACTCCTGGGCTCCTAATTGGCTCCCAAGTGTATAACTTATGGGGCCTCGTGCAAAATAAAATGCCAGAGTCCTTGTTCGGAGAGCAGGAAAAAGGGATGTTCAAGTAGTCGACTGTAAAGCCTATTCTTTTCCTCCATGGTTCCTCTCATGACTTGTCATGGTAAATTGTATTTGCTCTAGATCGATATCTCTAAATAAAGAACCATTGAAGATTTAAATAATCAGCATGAACTTTACTGCTCACCGTGTACTGAGCAGCGCCAGCTTTGAAGGCTAAGGTAAGCGCATTCGGCTCGACGCAGAGTCAACGGAATGACGCAGTTCCTAGTTCTGTGCGGCACGCGTGCCTGTGTATTTTGTCCTCACTGCAGCAGTGGAAACACTGTGCCCAACAAACTCATTTTCATAGATATGCTTTCTTCAGTACTCTCTAGCTTTGGCTTACCGCAGAACAGGGGAGGATTGAAAGGAAAGGAAGCATGCGTTGCCCTGTTTCTTTTTGGAACATTTTTCTTAGCACAGGTTTGCAGTGCAGAACAATTACATTCATCAAGGGAAGTTGGAGCACGCACAAAACACATCTTAATTCTTTTTACATCCCTTTCCCTTCTCCTCTCTCCTCCCTCCATCTCTTGTTCCCCTTTCCATTTGCAAAAGATCTGTCTTTCTGTTTCCAATTATCTATCTTTTCTTTTGTTCTTTAATTAAACTTTGGGTTTCTCATATAAGAGGAAAGTCTTATTTTCTTTGTAAAATTTGTTCGGTGGTGGCACAAGGATGGAACCTGGGCCTCACGCATGCCGGGTGAGCATTCCACGGCTGAGCCACACCCCAGCCCGTCTTCCTTTTCTTTCAGATCATCTGTGCAGCCGGAGTGGTTGGAAGGCAGGCAGGAACAGGCAGGCGGTGCAGAGGCACTACAGGGTTCTTCGGTCATTTGTGTTTCTTAGAGCTCCATTGCCTCCTTCCGGCGTTTGAAGCCACTTGTGGTTTGAAGGGACAGTGCGGGCCCTGAGGCTGTCATCCCACCTGCACACTCAGGTCGAACACGAAGTGTGCTTCGTGTTGTTATCTGGAGTCTCACCGATGCTCTGGGCTGATGGAGGCCACCCTGAGCACGCTGCGATGTATAAACTGGCGTCTCATATTAAAAGTCTGAGTCTGCCTATTCGCCCACGGTGCTGTCCGAAGAGCCAGCAGCTGGCTGTGGGAAAGGAGCAGCTCCCCACACCACTGGCCACAGCGGAGGTCTCAGTGATCCGTGATGCTGTGACGTCTTGGATGGCAAGACAATATTACAGCTACGGGCAGCGTGACTCATACACCAAATTTCTACAGAAGCAAAAATTAATCTTGGGAAAAAGCGAATTTCCCACTAATCAGCGATTCGCTCCTGCTAGAACGTCTGGTTGCCTCCTTGCTGGGCCCCTGCTCACCTCAGTGCTCTCCTCTCCACTGTTCCCTGTACCGCCCTTTACCCCTTCAAGAAGCTGTGTGCTGGGCCGGGGGTTTAGCTCAGCGGTTCTGCCGCCTGCCTCACAACCTCAAGGACCTGAGTTCCATCCCTGGCAGCCCCCCCCCCAAAGAAGCTGTGTGCTTAATGAATAGCCACGAGCTCCAGGAGACAGCGTCTTAGCCTGATAAGAGCTTTCATATCCCGGGCCCCCTTTATGCAGCAATGATCTTGTCTTTTGTTATCCCGCCCAGCCCCCGTACCCTTGGTCAGGTGGTTGGGGGTCTGATCAGCCTCCAGTACCGTGGTGCATCAGAATTCTGTGCCATGGGCATCCAGAAAGCTCTGCGTTAATGGGGCAAAAAGGAAGGACAGGGGCCACAGGAACTGGGCAGTGCCTGTGTGCAAGCTCCACTGTCCCATCTTTTAAAAGACCCAATTGAGAAGCTCCAGGCAGCTACAGTAGAACATTAAACCCAGCACAGGGTCCTCCTGCGGAAAGGGCTCCGTGCAACTGTACTGGGGGTTGTGTGTCCACGGAGTTGGTCGTAGTGAAATGACAAGAGTCGGGACCTAGGATTGCAATTTGCAACCAAGAATGATTTCCTTCTGGTTTATTATAATTTAGATTTTTAAAATTAAGGAGCTTATTTTTATTTAGAAATGTTATCACTTCTGTAATTAACCTCTCATTACAAGCTGAATCAGCTCCTGCCTAGATTAATTTGAACAGGGGAATAGAGAGCTGGGTGAGGAGCAGGATTAGCAGCTGGGGAAGTCAGAAATCCCTGAAAGTCTGTCAATCAGGCTCATTGGAGGGAGCAGAGGGAAAAGCTGAATGCCTCGTTATCAGATCTGGGATGCCAGTCCCAGACACCCAGGAGGAGAGCAGCTGAGGAGGGAGGGAATGCAACGTCCAGCTCAGATGAGGCTGATTCCAGCTCTCAGGGGAGCCAGAGGGCACAGAGGCTTGGATTCAGGACCTGGTACGTGATGCATTTTTGTCATAAGAAACAAGGCAATCAGGTGTCCAGACTCTGGATCTGGGACCCAAGTTTGGGGCAGGAGCATCTCCAGGCTCAGCAGATTTGAGTCCCTCAGCTCCTGTGAGCCTTTGATCTCTCTGGTCACAGATCAGGTCCCCTAAGGTAGCAAAGGGGCCTCAGCTGGGGTTGGGGAGACCTGGGGTGGGAAGACACAGCGTGCACCATTTCTGTGTTGACTTGCTCCTGGGTTTGCATTTTGCAGGTGTGAAAAACCATACCGGGACTCCCTTTCCCAAATAGAATGGATGCAGAGGACCCCGAGGAATACATTCATGTTAGTTGTGGAGCAGTGCCAGGGGCTCAGCATTCACCAACTCTGTGTGGCTGTCCCCACCAGGAGTCCTTTCACAAGGAAAATCACTGAAAATAGAGCAACTGCAAATAAGCAAATGTGCATATCAGAACAAGTTGGCAACCATTCAATACTGGGGCAATTTCCAAACTACAGCTTGTGTCCAAATGGATGTGCTCCTTCACCCAGCAAGCCCCTCAGTAGGCCGAACACAAGTAGTGTGACCTTTCAGACCCCCGGAAGTTCTGGCAGAGGCCAACGTGATGTGAGTCCCCATCACCCAAGGTTAAGGTCAAGCTGGGGTTCTGGAATACTCCAAGCTGCAGAAAATTGGGCTTTTGCTGAGTCAAGAACCAGAGGTGTCTTGTTACAGGGCTGCGAGACTGTGAGATTTTTTTATTAAGGACTCCTTGTCTTTTTGACTGTGGTTAGTACCTACAGGTTTCTTTGTCATTCACACATTACCCCTTGGCTTCCAAATCAGGACTCCTGCACTGGTTCTTGCCTTTTCCTGGCCACAGTCTATGAGGTTTTGTGATGTTTGGAAAGTCCAATCAACAGTTCTTCTCTACTGTGGAAAAAGGAAAGAGCAGGCATTTCCCTGGAGTGGTCTTTAGCTCTGATCTAGAGATGGAGTTCAGCTTATATAATTAATTTGCAGTGTGCTTATAGCTCCTACCAAGCTGCCTGGTCTGCATTGTGAAGCTCACAGAGGTGGGGCTGCTCTGTTGGGCAATTGGAATTCCTGAGGCTGGACAACACAAGGTCACAAATGAAGATTGTGTCTCGACAGGCCTTGAGGGGAAGTGAAAATAACTAGGCTTTGATTTGCACTCATGGTCACTGCAGGCTCCGAAAGATGTCATTTTTAGATATTTCCTGTTTTCCTTCAGAGTCACAATATGTCAGGCTCAGCTAAATGAAGAACTAAATTAAAACTGTCATTTCAGCTCATAAATAACAGATGTCTAATGCATTTAATTATTTATAGTCTTGAATCTTTCAAAAATGAAAATGACTATACACATTTTTAATGCAGTTCTTGGTAATTTGCCGCCTGACTGATAAGATGTGCCGATAATCCTAGCTTGCAAACATGAAAAATAAAACTGAGACTGACTCGTTTATTTCATGAGACTGCTTCTTTGCTCCCTTGTGGCTTTGACAAAATTTAAATTAAAGTGAAATCTAATCACAACAAAGTGATGTTCATATATTCATATTAATAATTGAGTTTTCCAAGATCATGTGGTAGGTACTTGGAGACCAGAGTTCGGTGCACTGTTTGAAAAACCAGTCCCTTACCCTTCTCCAAACTACCTGTTTGCTAGGAGGTTGTGACCTCAGCAGTCAGGGTCGAATGGAGAAACTTGAGCAAGTGGCCCCTGAGCATGGCTCTCAGGCCACACTGGTAAGTTTGGCTGTGAATGGTGAAAGAAGGCCACTGTGGTCCTACTGGTTCCAGGAGGGTCCTTTCTTCCCCAGAGTATTTATTCCTTTTCATTTGGGTGCAGATTTATTCAGGTCTTCATTAAAGCTCCAAAATGACAACTACTTACTAAAGCATAACTGGCCAATGCCAGTGTGACCATTGATCGTGATATGGCAACTTGAGCAGATTGAGAAGCACCTAGCAGACTAGTAAAGCCCAGTTCTGTGTGTCTGTGGATGATTGACCTGTGGGCCAGCAAACCGAAGGGGGAAGACCCACCCTGGATGTAGGTGGCACCAACCGGTAGGCTTGTGTTCTGCATGGAACAAGAAGGGAAGTAGAAGGAAGGGTGCCCATTTTTGTGCTCAGTCTTCACCAGAACCTTTGAATATCACTTTCCAGTTCCTCAGCTTTCCAATGCGTGCTCACATGCCGGTGACTCTAGAGTGAACTTCTAGGCATCCTTGAACTGGGGCTGCATTCTTTTTTTTTTTTCCCTCCATCAAGTTTATTGGTACATTTAAAGCAAACAATACAGTTCCATTCATCATTGGGATCTTGTGCCTTTACATGATGTGTCTTGGTTCCTGTATTTTCCCCGTACCCCTGCCTTCCCTTCACCCTTGCCTATTTACAAGACTTTGTTTCCATTTTTTCCTTTTCCACATTTTTCTTTTCATTTCCTTTCCCCTCCCCCTCCCACTTCCCCTTTAGCCATTTTCTTCCTATTTCACACTCAGTTATACCATTTGAATCTTATTTACACTTTTAGTTTTTCACACTAGAGAAACTATTCAGTATTTACTCGTGTGTCCTATGTATTTCACTTGAGTAAACCCTCAATGTGCATCCATTTAGCTATAAATATTTCTAGTTTCTCATTCTTTATGGCTGAGTAGTACTCCATTTTATAGAAAAACCACATCTTCTCTATCCAGTTTCCGTTGATGGCCATTTGGGTTGTTTCCAAGTTTTAGCTATTGGGGCTGCATTCTTGAGCCCTCTTGTTCTGTGGTTTCTGTCTTCTTGGGCCGAGCTGCTACTGGCTCCTTTAGCTTTCCAGCATGCAAAGAGTCATTCTGGATTCTTCCACTCTGGTCCTGTAATCCTACCTCATAAATCCCCTTGCATGATTTATATATTGATCCTATTCTTCTGGAGAACTTGAAACAGTCAGATTCTGAGAAATTTTATTTCTTTGGGATAAGAGAGGATATAGTGAAAACACCTTGATTAGCTGAATAGTTACTTTTTTGGTGGGTAAGGATAAGCTTTTGTTTTTGGTCTAGTGGAATAATGAAAAGTACATGAATTTGGAGGGATCATACAAATGTAGGTTTGATTTACGGTTATAAGAGTTATATGACATTTATAAAATAGTGTCCTTGAGTAAGTTACTTAAAATCTCTAGGGCTTAGTTTCTCTATTTCTAACATGGATATAGTCATATATGCCTCCCAGGAAGGCTATGGAGAGTAAATAAGGCAACTTATGTAAAACACCTGCGCTTAGTAGGTAAACCATAAATATTAGGGATGCATGTATCTGCTGTGAGAAAAGCAATACATTGCTGAGGGAAAATAATTATATTAGTTGTTCCCTAAGGTTCTTTCTAGTGGCGAGTCCACGAATCCACTGCTACTCAACCCTGGTATTTCACTTCTGCAAAAAAATCTTCATTGGCTTCATGTTCTGCTCAGTGCCTCCTTTTGTGACTTGTCTGGACGACTTCTCTACTCACTACTGCTCTATAACATGTGCTTGGGACAAGGCTATCTGTTCTCCCTACAGAGAAAGACCCTGTCCCCAGCTTGTCTGCAGCCATGTGTAACATCTGTGGGTCACACCTTAGAATGCACAGCGTGGACCTCAGAGGTCTTGAGGTGGCCAAAGGCTATCAGGGACCTCGTGAAGGTCCCGGGAGAACACAGGTAGTGTGCCGACTGTGGTGAAACGGAGAGCCTGCTTGTTGTCCCTGGCTCTGGCCTTTTGTGGCCCTGTAGGAATGTTGGTTAGTGTTGCTAGGCCTTTAGATTTTTCCAGAGAGGCCAGACAATGAGGTATTTATGCAGAAACTTCCAAGTTTTAATGGTGGCAAGCTTTTTACATCAAACAAAGCAGAAAAAATAAAAGCCATGAGTATTGGTGCTGTGCTGTCCAAACAAAGCCAGCCTGTGGGTTTTCACTTCTAACCTATGGGCTTAAAGTATTTCATTGGCTAGAACTCCTGGGTGCCGTTTATTTCCTAGGGACCTTAGACCTCCTGGGAGCAGCTCCAATTTCTCCTTCAGCAGCTATAAAGATTTCCTTCTTTCTCTCATGGGTCTCATGACATTTTGATACAGCCATTCAGTTGCGGTAGTGATATTCATATCTATTTTGTGACCATAAAAAATAGCCATTGAACTTAAAAAAAGTCAAGCGATGCCCTTAACCTTCACTGCACCCCTGACTTTCAACCCCTCCATTGTCCTTGTATCCCCGAATCTCACCCTCTCCCTAAGCCTCCCTAGAGGTGGGAGGAATTCAGAGATAAGAACAATTCCTGCACACAGATCTCGGTGATAAAAAGCTTGCATTTGAATGGCATAGGTTTTAGGCCTTGGTATGAAATTTTGTTTTATTTTTCTTACAAAACAAAACAATGTGTAGGCCTTGTGAAATGTCTCAGTGTTAAAACAAATATCCTCCTTAAGGTCTTAAAGAAATGAGAATTCTTAGCCCTATTTTCTCCTGGGAGAGATTGCCCCTCAAAGGCTGGAGTATTACAGGTTCATGATTTCCCATCCCAAACTTGGGGCAGGTGGATTACAGAGAATCGTTTGAATCTTAGAAATGTAACATGCATATTATAGATTACTCCAGTGGGACCTGAGGTGGCACCTCATAGCCAAATATATCATCATTTCTGTAACAAAATATGAATATTCATCCTTAGTGATATAAACAAAGATTGTAAACAGCTACACCAATTCAGATCAGGTTTTAATGCCAAACAAATTCAGAGAAGAGTTTGGGTTTTGGAGATTTTCGATGTTGGAATTATGGATGAGGGTTTATAAGCACAAACCACAGTTCTGTTGCTGCTCGGGGTGTTCTGCTTGGCCTGGCCTCTGTGGAAAATTCCATTTTGAGCTTCCTTATACTAATCCATGCTTCCTTATCTGATTAAACCTATAGAGTTACAAAAGGCTATTTTAATTTTCTCAAGTGAATGTATATTTTATAACTGGAAATGTATTAATATCTTCATGTGAATTTTATAAGGTTAGGGAAGTCAGATGTCTCTATCTGTGTGTTGGTGACCCACTGAAAACTTCATTTTGATTTTTCTATTCCCTGCTGTGGGTCCCTCCATAGAAGCGGTGGAAGGAACTCTTTGTATCTGTCAACCTACCTGGTCTCTTTACACCCCTGGACCATAGGCAAACAGTCTTGCATATTTTCACACCCTTTTAATATGTACTGAGTCACATTGGCATCTGAGAGTAAAAAGGACCCCAGAATTGGAGGTGCAATTGCATGGATGGACTGAGGGATGTGTGAGCAGATGCATTGATGGATGGTGGATGATGGATGGGTGGGTGAATGGGTGGGTGGATTTATGGGTAGGTGGATGAATGGATTGATGGATGGATGGGTGGGCAGGGGATGTATTGATGGGTGGGTGGATGGTGGGTGGGTAGATGGATGGATGGATGAGTGGGTGGATGAATGGGTGGGTGGATGGATGGATGGATGGATGGAAGGATGGGTGGATGCTCAGACTCAAACTCATAATGTCTCCTAGCCAGCAGGATCTCAGAAAATGACCACATGGGGCTCTGAATTGTTCGGGGGACTGATTGCA